GTGTTTGCACATTCCAACCTGGGCAGAAAGATCACCTTCACAGAAATGTAACATAGTATATATTTCCCTCCCTTGCAAGCTTGCTTGTTTTGTTCTTTTTAAATAATATATACTTACCAAAATCAGTCTTGAAATGATTCCTAAAAAGTCACCTAACTGGATCAGCAAGCTGTTGTCAGTGTACAAAAATAAAAACAAAGGTCAGTTGATTCAGTCAACTAAGCCAGTGGGTTAAATTTAACCCAAAAAAGAGCTGGTCATGCATGGGTTGAACTAATGCCACCCAGTCAATTGTGTTGGAGGAACAGCTAAACCTAGGCAGTTGACCTTTACATGGGTCTCTGTGTAAAAGAACTGGAGGGGGAAAAGTGGCTGAAAAGCAGAGGTCTCCATTTCTGAACTCAGCCAAGGTTCGAGAGCCCCGAATCGAAATACAGGTCAGGCACTATAGACTAGCCATGCTTATTCTACCTATCTGACCAATGGAGAAAGGCTTAGTGATGTTGTGGCATTTTGTGTCTCCTTTGGTGGGATACTATGCACCTTTTAAAGAAAGTGAAGGAAATGCCAGTAATTTTTAAACTGCTGACTTCGGACCCAGTTAGGGTGATTGTGTGTTACCAGAATATGAGGTAAAGGTAAATTTCACTGGGATAGTGGCTGACTAGGTTAAGTATGCCACAAGGAAATCAGACTACTGGGTTAATAGGACTGAGATTATTATTACCTGTTAGGGAGTATGCTGTGGAAATCACATATTACTCTTCATCATAACAACAACTTGTACAGGCTGCAATAAGGAGTAGATTATTATAATTTTCTACATTTAGGCAGAAGATTTTGTTCATAGACCTACCTTGGGGTGTTATGGCGGACATATTACTGGGCGTCCACGATTCCTCCCCCCCCCAGTACAAACTCATTCCTAGTGTATGTTTAAAGCATATCTTGGCATCTGAGATGCATTACTATTGAGTTTGGTCTCTCTGATGGAGTGGATGGCACAAAAATGACATTGGGGGCACACAGATTCCCTATTTCTGCACTTTGCAAAGGAACTATTCCAGACTCGTTAGCCGCCACTTAGTTACTTCTTATTCTCCTCATTTGTTCTGCCTTCTATAATTCATTATCTCAGTGGATTTTTCCCCCACCCTGAATTTTACAGAAAGAATGCAACCTTTGTTGAGGCTTAAAGACAACAATTCTGCTAAAAGCAGGAGATGCAGTCTTTTTATATGACTAATGTAGGTGTCAGCTGTTCTCTGTCAGCTGTTCGTCTGACATTGAGGGGGTGAACTATAAGATATCAATTCACTCGTGTAGTCTTTATTCGTCTCCCACACCACAACATCAGGTAACAGCGATCAAATTATGTTTAAAGTCAGCTCTGGGTTTCATTGCAACCCAGAGCTGTATTTATACATGTTATACTTTGGATAACAACATAATTACTATAACCACCTTCTGGCCGCCTTCGCTGCCTAACATCCGTCATCCTTAAATTAAAGAAACATGGTAACTGCACCTTTCCCCTGCTCGATGAGTCCATGTACCCCCATTTGCCTCGTACCATTATTACAACACTACCCCCTTGACATCCAGCCATGAATCATTATTATTGCACCACTCCTTGTCAGGAAGTTGATGTCAGTCATTTGAAGAATATTCATCATAACGTCAACTTGGTAACACAATCAATGTAAGGCAAGTAAAAGACTATGGTCGTATCACATCCTGGCTGTTTCGGCTCCAGTCCGTTCTTTATTGGAGTCGTGACAGTAGGTAATAAGTGATGCTTGTAAGTGAAGGAACCATTGATATCCTCAATTTTCTTCTTTTCGCCCTTATTTCAGAATTTGGAGACTGGCTAAGGCTATGGAGACAGTAGACTCTAGTTGGTTTTCTTCTTTTGTGTGTTTGCCAGATCTGACAATGGGAGAATGAGGATGATTTGTCCTTCAGATCAAGGAAACTCAAGGAATCAGTTTCCTTTGTTGTCTGAGCTATTTAAAATATCCAGGAGTTGTCTGAGTATGCTTGTGCCAAATTTTTTTCCTGTACCACTTCATCCAATGTACAAATACTTAAAGTGCTAACGTGATTGTTTGTGTGAGTTGTAGACATAAGATAGGAGTAACAATTTAGAATGGCTATGTTTTGCAATTGTTTTCTTTTATTTAATTTTGCATAATGTGAGGATGAGAAATTAGAGTGAAAAATATATTGGAATTGCAAATAATGGAAAGTTATGCACTAGTTTTATTTTGAATAGAAACTTCTGGGGTCTCCTTTCCATCTCCTGTTCCCTTTCCCTATGCATTCCACCAAATGGTAGTAAATGGAGAGAGAGAGAAATCTCCATTAACTGTTTTATAGCATAGGGGAACCATAAATCCAGTTAATGTTTTATAGCATAGGGGTATCTTCTCTGTCAAACATGAAATATTCACTTAGTTGTGGTGGCGCCAAAGGGCTGTGATGGCACAGTAGTTGGAATGCAGTACCGCAGGCTCACTGCTCTCTTCGGGAGCTTGATTCTGAGTGGCTCAAACAGCTTCCATCCTTCTGAGGTCAGTAAAATGAGGACCCAGATTTTGGGGGGACAATATGCTGACTTAGAGAGGGTTGTAAAGCAGTGTGAAGCAGTATATAAGTCTAAGTACTAATGCTATAGATTTTTGTGGGTGTTAAACCCTATTTTCCTTTGTGAATTTTGGTATGGATTTCTTTATATATTTTATTTATTTATTTATTTTATTTTATTTGGTTTGTCAATTGCTTACAAGATAATAGGTATAAGTAAAAACATAGTTATGAATACATGGACGCATATAAGAAAAATAAAAGAAACAATAGGACAGGGACGGTAGGCACGTTGGTGTGCTTATGCACGCCCACTACAGACCTCTTAGGAAAGGGGTGAGATCAATAAGTAGACAGTCTGAGGTTAAAGTTTTTGGGGTTTGGGGAAGAAACCACAGAGTCAGGGAGAGTATTCCAGACATTGACCACTCTGTTGCTGAAGTCGTATTTCCTGCAATCAAGTTTGGTGCGATTAACCTTGAGTTTGTATCTATTGTTTGCTCTTGTATTGTTACGGTTGAAGCTGAAGTATTCATTGACAGATAGGACATTGCAATGTATGATTTTATATACTATACTTAGATCGGACCAAAGGCGGCGTAGTTCTAGGTTTTCTAGGTCTAGAATTTCAATTCTGGTGGCATAAGGTATGGGTTCAGTTTTACATTCGTTTCGGATCCAGTTAATCTGAGGTAGATTGAAGCCACCAAGAAAGATAAAAGTGTGTGGGCAGGATGTTGCCCATGTCAGTAGTGAATTTAGCTTGTTCGATGTCATAATCAGGGGCTCTGTAACATAGTAAGAATTGAAATGAGATATTTAAGGACAGTTCACAGACGATGGTCTCAGGAAGAGCAAGCTCTTGGGTAACTTGGATGTTTTTTTTTTGATGTAAGGACTTTTTATAGAAGATAGCAACACCACCTCCTCTATGAATTTCACAATCTGATCAGTAAATATGATAGTCTCTTGCTGTGGTAATGGAGTCAGGGAGAGATGTGTTGAGCCATGTTTCACAGACAAATATGTTGTTGAATTTAGCCATATTTAGTAAGAGGAGAAATTCAGGTATTTTATTCACAAGGCTTCTTGCATTGAGTAGCTTGCATTTAAGGCCAGTTGTAGTTGGAATTGAGGTAGTTAGGGGCATGTGTCCCTAGTTTTGAGTGATGGTGGGTTGGATGAGGTAGGGGTTGTATGTGGAGTTGTGGGTTGTGTGACTTACTTTTCATACAATCAGCATGGTAGTCAATGTACAGATCCTTGTCTCCCTTGTCTAGACGTCTTTTGAGTTCATTGTGGAGTTCACAGGAGTGGATTCTTCACAGTATGGATAAGTCTGGTCTTGAGCAAAGTTTTTTGTGGTTGGGATTGGTTTTTGCAATGGCATTTATTGTATGAATGAATATGTGTTTGCTGGACTCATTTTTGCATATAACTCTACAAAATTTTGGGGCCACCAAGCCTTCATTATATTTGAACTCAGGACCATCTCTGGTTATTTGAAAGATATCTTCAGGAGATTTTCCTTTGTGTATTTTGGTGTGGATTTCTTTATATAGACTAACTGTCTTATAATAATTTCAGCAACCCACCACTCAGATTCTTTTAATCGGTAAACTTTATCTCAATGATCATCCTCCTTCAACTTGATGCCCATTTTGGAATTTCTCATTGATTATTGTTGAATTGGGAGTACTTTAGCTGATTTTTCACTTGGCGAAAATGGATACTGAAACTAAAACACCATTTTGGGGAATATCAAGCCTGGATTTATTTGTTTAGAGATAAATATAATATGTTGGTCATTTATATATATTTTTTGTATGTAAAGCAAATGTGCTGTTTTATGAAATAATTATAAGAAAAAAACTTAAAATGTTTTTAGAACAAGGATGTGATTTGTGACTTGGTGATTTGAAGGTGTCTTCAGATGTATTTGTGCAAATATATGCCATAAATGTTTATTACAGTAATTTTGACATTTTACTAACAAGGCAAGAAAGAAGACACCATGTAAATATTCAAGCTACAGGTGTCTTTTGTATTGTTGGAGCAGCTGGTATTTGGGAGGGATTGATTCTATGGACAGTTCTACACTGAATACATGAATTTTTTATATTTCAATATTGTTTTAGGAAATCTTGAAGATGAACTCTACACGATCTGCTAGTGATACTGAAGAAGCAAGGAATTGCTGGATCAGATAAATTGCAATGGAGAAGTCCACTGAAGAGACATCAGAGCTATCATTATTGTCCGGTGGCTTATTGGACTTCAAGCCTGCCCACCTCAGTCATAGCATATGATGTTTCAAACAGAAAAAATATGTCAAATTATATTAGGCTTATGTTGCTTCTTAGGTACCTGATTTGAAATTTGCAACATAATTCCTTTTGTATAAAGGAGGAACGATGACTTTTTATAGTTTCTATTTGATCCTCTTTGCATTTACTTCGAGTAGCTTTGCCTATGGACCAAATCAAAGGGCACAGAAGAAAGGAGACATTATTCTTGGAGGATTGTTTCCCATTCATTTTGGAGTAGCTGCTAAACATCAGGATCTGAAATCTAGGCCAGAATCAGTAGAATGCATAAGGTAAGTCCAGAAAACCCCCAAAGTCACTCATCCCCCAAACTCAGATGCCAGAGGCCTTGAAAGTTTTGTGATTTCTGCAGTCTAATAGTTTTTTGGTTTAAAAAAAAGCCACTTCCAGGCTTGTAGGGAAGGAACTGAAATCTTACTACTCCACACCTTGTATATATGGGTTTTTCTGAAGTATTTGACTGATCCCTTTTGAAGCAGCGCTTTCAGACTGATCTGGTTTTTATTTACTGAATTCAATTATACATGCAGATTTTCAAAACACATGACTTACATGATAAAATATACTTGCATTTGATATAAAATATTCAATTCAGCACAAAGAAATTTGCAATGGGGTGTGGTTGCCCTTAGAAGGCAGCTAGTACATGAAACCTCTCATTAGAGAGCATTCTATGTTTTGAGGGTGACTGGTAGGAAGTCTACTTCATGTGTAATTTGAGCCTTACATTGGAATAGTGAGCAAAGCTTAATAATGGTTTGTTAAATTCTTCATCCTTAACCCAGAAGGCACTTTTATTGCTTTGATGGTAGGCAGGAATATTTATGAAATAGGAGATTTAAAAGTAGGTTGGAAAGAAGATGCACCTGGCTTCATGCACTTGTTTTTCTTTTGGTTCTTTTAAACTGTTCCTGGGTGCTTTGTTATTTTGCCTTTGGTTGAGGTTGAATACCAGACTGGATCAGAACAAAGGCCCTCTCATTTATTTTTAACTATCCGTTTTACACATAGTAAAAAAACAGTGTGACCGCAGCATGGCTAGAGGAACAAGGAGAACTGAATGTCTTATTGCTGAGGAGAATGCTGCACTGCCCTTGGAGGATCAGGTGTAGATTTGGGATTACTTATAGCAGGGCTCCCCAAACTTGGCAACTGTAAGACTTGTGGACTTCAACTCTTAGAATTCTCCAGCCAGCTATGACTTACAGATTCCTCATCATAACTTGAAATACTAATGATCTTCATGCCTGATAGATGATTTTTGGGCTTGTATTTTCCCCCCTAATTAGCCTGTAACTTTAAATCTTGGCTAAGTTACCTAAAACATCCATCTATATTTGCTTCTCTGGATCATCATGATGGCCTCACCTGTGGCTCTTCTCTAGGTGCCCCACTAAATGAGGCAAGATAGCCCACCAGAGAAGAAACGATCTTTTCATGAGTGGCATCTCAGCATACCGTTTTTATGGCCTTGTAGGTGCTGTGTGAAGACCTCCTCATTTTCATAGACAAAAGAACATGCTATTTTCTTAGTTTTTTAAAAAAAACATTCTGGTTAATATGCTTTAATTTATATACTTAGAGACATTTAAGTATTGCAAAGCCTCCAAATATTATAAAAAATAACACACTGAATTGTACAATTCTATCCTGCAATCAGAGGTAATGATGATAAATTATTTAGGTTTTATAAAAATAAAAAAGAATTGTAAACAGCACCTTAATGGCATTTCCACACTAGAGGATTGAATTTTGTAATAGGGAATGCAGTTCAGTGTAAACAAATGCAAAGTTGTATAAATTAGATTAAAAACCTAATCTCTACATGTGGGCTAATGAAGTCCAAGCTGCCAGTGACTAAGATAATTTCTGCACTAGTGATTTTTAACTTCTTATAGCATCGCTTAGCTGTGGTTGAAATGAAGTAGTCTGTTTGCTTAAGCTCTTAAATTTGGCATAATAGTTAGGTGATTCTAGAAGATGTTATAAATAGAAACCACCAAAAAAAAAAGCTGTCGCTGTTAAAGTATATCAATATACAATGAATATGTCAACCCAATGTGTTGTTTGTTTAAAATTATGAATCCCATACTAGGATTCGTAAGAATTGAAAATAAAACTATTAATATTGTGATCAAGGTTCTGCAGTAATTTTGCTCCAATTTTCCAATGCTTTATAAGCAATCACATGGTCCAAGGAAAAGCTATAGAGAGTTTCTCTGTTCATGCTTCTATATCCTCCAGAGCACCTTTTGGAGACTGAATCTGCAGGATTATTCAGCCCTAACTTTAATTCCTTAAATAAATATATAGTGGAAGACTACATATATTTTTGATCATAATGTCTCAAGGGTGGGGTGGCTCAGCAGTTGACACAGATTCAAGACCCAAACACCATGTTACATGATGAGCAAGCATCTTCCACCCAGCTCCTGCAAACCTAGCAGTTCGAACGCAGACAAACGTGAGTAGATAGGTACCACTTTGGTGGGAAGGTAACAGTGCTCCAAGATGCTATGCTGGCCATATAACCACAAATGTCTTCAGACAGTGCTGGTGCAATGGCCTGGAAACAGAGATGAGCATTGCCCCTATAATGGAGTAAAATCTGTAGAAATTCCTTCACCTCAAGGGACTACTTTAAAATCAGTTCTTCTACTATGCTTATGAGTTTCCTGCATCATTTGATTGGTCATTGGGTGACACAGAATTTTGGACAAAATGGGCCTTAATATTCTGATAATATCTCGTGTAATACATCATGGATTGCCCAGAAAGTGGGATATCATATAAATGTTAAATAGTTATTTCTGAAAAACTCCACAAGGCAATTCTGAATATGAATAAGAACAATTTCTTGGCACAACATTCTAGACTATGCGTAATGCAATCATTCAAAACAAGACCTCTGTTTTGCCATTTAGTTAATAAGGATATGCTGTTAAATTGTGTCAGTGGTTGCTGGGGGGCTGGTTCTGTTTTGTATGTGGTACAGTTGCCATGGTTGTCCATGGGAAGATCAAAAAATCAAATTATGTTCTGTGCATTATTACCTCATCACACATATGACACGCACTCTGTAATTTATACCATTTGCTTGATAATGACATAATACAACTGATGTAAATTGCATCATTTGCACACAATAACAATTGTAATTATGATTTGTAATGAGTGCCTGTGTGAACTGGCCCTATTTTTGGTTAATTATTTTGAAATATATATATGAAATATAAGTCCAAATAAAATGGACTTAGGAAGTGCTAAGATTTACCCAGAAACAATATATTTTCCTGTTTCTCTCCTCTACCTCTATATAAGACATTGTGCTTATTTTGATTTCTCTTTCTTGTTTGTAGGTATAATTTCCGGGGTTTTCGCTGGTTACAGGCAATGATCTTTGCCATTGAAGAGATTAATAACAGCCCAACTCTTCTTCCCAATATGACTCTTGGATACAGCATTTTTGACACCTGCAATACAGTGTCTAAAGCTCTAGAAGCCACTCTGAGTTTTGTGGCCCAAAACAAGATTGATTCTCTGAATCTGGATGAGTTTTGCAATTGTTCGGATCATATTCCCTCAACAATTGCAGTGGTGGGAGCAACAGGCTCTGGGATTTCCACTGCAGTTGCCAATCTTCTGGGTCTCTTTTATATACCTCAGGTGAGCATATGTTGTCTCTGTCCATTGCTAGAAATAGGATGGTCCTGGGTAGGTGAGCTTGTTAATTACAAAATATTTCTACTGTTGCTATGGCAAGTTTCATCATCTCTTCCGTCAATTTTACAATGTATATAAAGTCTTAAAGAGCTAGTGTAATATTTCCACATGTTCCTTTTTTAAAAAAGAAAAAAATACCCCTTTTCCAATTTTGGACACAACAGTATTCAATGAGTCATTGTAGCAGTCTGTGCCTATATGTTTGAGTAGCCCTTAGATTCAAAAAGGCAACCATTATAATCATAGGATAATTTCTCTATATCCTCTTTATTTTCTTATGCCCATATTAAGTAGCATTAATGCGCATTGTGTATTTACATCACCCATAGCAATTCATTTTGCACTTTCCTGTTGAACTCTATATAACAACCCATAATGAGATATGATTCTATCTGGCCATTGATTTTCCTTAAAATTTTTAAAATATTGATTGTTGTGGCTGCTGTTTGGCCTAATTTTTAAAAAGCTAGTTTGATTGGGTATTTGATCAGGAATTGGTTATGTCTAGTCTAGTGAAAATAAGGTCTAGAGATGACATGATAGCAGTGTTCCAATATTTGAGGAGCTGCCACAAAGAAGAGGGGGTCAAGCCACTTTCCAAAGCCCCAGAAGGCAAGACAAGAAGCAATGGATGGAAACTAATCAAGGAGAGGCACAACCTAGAATTAAGGAGAAATTTCCTAACAGTGGGATCAGTTAACCAGTGGAATAGCTTGCCTTCAGAAGTTCTGGATGCTTCATCACTAGCAGCTTTTAAAAAGAAGCTGGATAGACATTTGTCTGGAATGGTATAGGGTCTCCTGCTTGAGCAAGGGGTTGGACTAGAAGACCTCCAAGGTTCCTTCCAGTTCTGTTATTCTGTTAACTGTTAACTGTTTGTGACTAAACTAGCTTGGATGCTACTCATATTTTAAATGCATGGCCTGAAAACAAAAGACCATTATCTGATTTAACTATGCAAAGTATCCCATCTCTGGAGGGAAAATGCCAGAACTCAAAAGAACAATCTATTGTGATAATGATTGTCCCATTCAATAAATTCAAATAAATAATTTAGAATACTTTTTTTCACATCTTTTATTTTTTCCCCCAAGCAAGTGATTATTTTAACTCTGAGTTTCAGAAATTCAAATTCAGCCCAATTTCTCTCATTGTTTCACAAGATTTTCCCTTCTCCCTCTACATCAGGGGTGTCAAACTGGTAGCCTGTGGGCCGGATGCATCACACGCAGGCCATGCCCACTTCGGCTCTGCAAAGGCAAAAAACATGCTATATCATGTGATGTCACGTGATGCAATCTAGTTTGACACCCGTGCTCTGCGTATTTGCTCTATGTCAGTGATATCAACATACCTGTCTATATCTTGATACTATCAAGTCCCATCAAGTATTTACCATAGTCTATAAAGGACTTTGCAGGACAACTTAGGCCAAATGAGCATTGGGAAAAGCCATATCGCCTTGTCAGTCCAAAACGGAAGATTACAGAAAAAGACGAAGTATGAATCAGGACTACTTTTATTGCAGAAGCTACAGTAAATGAATCTTGCCACTCTGAATGTGTTTCCCCCCTCCCTCCCTTGATCCCTGTCTGAAGTAGGGAGGGGGTCTGTCCCAGATATTACTTCAAACTATTTTACTGGGCCACACGCAAGACCTCTTATCTGATCATTACCTTGGTAGCAGCTCTTCTTCATGTCCTTCAAGGCCATTCCTTAAGTCTTCTGCACTCCCAAGTAATATATCCATTTTTTAGCGGTTGCTTGTAAATGTGATTGGAAATTTTCTTATATATTGGGGATATTGTCAAAGTTCTGGATGGAAAGTTATTATTTCTGGATAGAAATAATCTGAGTACTTTCTAAGTACTTCTTTCTCTTTCACTGATCCAAGTAAGCCTCCTGATATAATGGAGAGCTGAGGATGATGAAGTGGGATCATGTAGCAATTTAACTGGTAGAAGAAACATCCTGGGATAAATGAGACACAATATGATTAGAGCCCACTTGAAGGTCTGCACTGAAATGAAAAATATCATAAATTACCATAAATTATGTAATGCTTGAACAATGGGAGAATATGTGGAAGAAAGGTTTAAAATTTACATTAAATTATAACTTAAAAGAAAACTTCTATAAGTTGATGTATCGTTGGTATTTAACTCCAGACAAGTTGTCAAGAATGTATAAAGGCATTTCAAATGAATGTTGGAAATGTAAATGTAAAGCAGGAACTTTTTATCATTTATGGTGAACATGTGATAAAGCGAAGAAATATTCAAGTAGGATTCATACCTTAATACATAAAATTCTTAAAGTGAATATAAACAGAAAACCAGAGACTTTTCTTTGGGGTTTAATGGAAAAAGAAAAAATGTGGAACTTTGATGTTATACATGTTGATGTCAGCAAGATTACCCTACGCATAGGAAGAGAAGGCCACCTTGATGCCTACAATGGACAAATGGCCGCAAAAACTGATGGAGTTAACAGAGATGGCTAATTTACTGTTTGACAAAAAAAAATTCAAATACTTTTATTTCTACTTGGAAACTGCTTCTAGACTTTATGCTTGAGGTGGTAAAATAATAAAACTTGGATTTTTGGTTTTACAGATTAGACAGATGTGTTCTTACAGAAATGGATAGTTTAAACTATTATGTAACAGTAAAAAGTTGAGGTTTTATGTTAACGTCTTATTCTACAGTACAGAAGGGATTTGGAAGTCATTGCCTTTTCTTTATTTTCCCCCTTTTCTTTCCCTCACTTTTCTCTTCCCTTCTTCCCTATCTTCCCTATTATTTACTTTTGTACTTTCTTTGTATGCTACATTATAAACTAATAAAAATCGTTAAACATGAATAAATTACCACAAATTACCAATTTACCATTAAAAACAACTCAATCGGTGTTCCCTGATTGAGGGAATACTTGTCCAATTTGAAGACCATTTTTCAGAATGATAAGAGAAAACTTTATCTTTCTCAAATTATGGGGTGTGTTTCCTAGGGAGTAATGTTTGGCTGTCATCATCAGTCCAGTGGATAGATTGATAAAGACACATAATCTCAATTAGGCTTTAAAATATTATGGTTATTAGAATGGAAATTCCAATCAATATCTCTTTCTGGATTAAAGAATCTTGAACTTTTTGTTTAAGGTGATCTTTCTACATGCTGCCCATGTGCACCACTGCATCTGTGAGCAATTTCTTAGTCACCTGCAAACTGCGCTGCTGATACAACATTTTTCCTTCTTTAATTAAGGATAGGTTCCTGGGGTCACATCTCATGTGAAATGTTTCAGAATAGTTTTTACTTAAAAGTGTTGCATAAGAATTTATTTCCCTCTTTCCTTTTCCAGGTTAGCTATGCTTCATCCAGTCGGCTCTTGAGCAACAGGAATGAGTACAAATCTTTCCTGCGCACTATACCTAATGATGAGCACCAAGCCACTGCTATGGCTGACATTGTAGAGTACTTCCGCTGGAATTGGGTGGGTACCATTGCAGCAGATGACAATTATGGCCGGCCAGGTATTGAAAAGTTCAGGGAAGAAACAGAGGAGAGAAACATCTGCATTGACTTCAGTGAGCTCATTGCCCAGTACTTGCCTGAGGATCAGATCCAACAGGTAGTGAAAGTCATCCAGAATTCCACTGCCAAGGTGATTGTTGTGTTCTCTAGTGCACCTGACCTAGAACCATTGATCAAAGAGATTGTCACACGGAACATCACTGGCAGGATTTGGCTGGCAAGTGAAGCCTGGGCCAGCTCATCATTGATAGCAATGCCACAGTTCTTTCATGTCATGGGGGGCACAATTGGATTTGCTCTTAAGGCAGGACAGATCCCTGGCTTTCGCGACTTTCTGCAAAAGGTAAACCCTAAGAAGTCTGCTAATAATGGATTTATTAAAGAGTTTTGGGAGGAGACATTTAATTGTTACTTACCAGAAGGAAACAAAAATTTCCCAGTTTTTTTCCACAAAGACCATGAGGAAGGTACTAGAGCTGGAAATAGTACAGCTTCATTCCGTCCCCCATGTACAGGGCGTGAGAACATCACTAGTGTGGAAACACCATACATGGATTATACTCACCTACGGATATCTTACAATGTGTACTTGGCAGTATATTCCATTGCTCATGCTTTGCAGGATATATACACTTGCACTCCTGGGAAAGGACTATTTGCCAATGGGTCATGTGCAGATATCAAGAAAGTTGAGGCATGGCAGGTAAGATTTGTTTTACTATAATTATTATATTATACAGTGTCTGATATAATTTGCAGAACAGTTAACAGATTCTCACATAATTGACAGATTTGTGTTGCTATATGTATTAACATGCACAGTAGCCCTAAGTTTAAATTAAATACAATGTGAAAGATACCGAATCAGATTCATTTCCCTTGCATTTGGAGAGCACCCAATCTTCCTATGTTCTTTTCCTTATTTAAACACCCCCATCTGTTTTACAATCATGGGGGCAATGGGACAGATTCAAATGCTCTTGGTGCTTTTTATAACCTAATGAGTTAATAATAAGTTCCAAAAAATCACTTCTCTCAATCTTCAAATCAACTATATGAAGCTGCTATCTACTCCAGAAATCGTTATTTGAGAACAATGATAGCTTCAACGCAGTGTTGCTTAATCATAAGCAGTGTTAAACTATGGTTATGATTTCAACTTGTTTGTGTTTTGGATGGAATTTCATTCTCTAAGAATAATCATTTTAGCAGCTTGGGAGCATTTGATGACATTTTCTGTTGTGGTTTTGGTTCTTGATTAAACATCTTGAGTGATTCAGATTTTCAATGTAAAAGGCAAGCTGTTGATTGTTGATAATCACATGGGTCAACTCCATTTTCATCATTTGCTTGAGAGCAGGCCTTAAAACAATTCTTTTCATCCAGACACCAAAAAAGTTCTAGGCCAGGATGAAAAGATTTAAAGAGAGATGAGGTGAGAGAACTGGAAAGCAAAGGGAAAGAGGTAATATTTCCCAAAGCAGCTCTTAAATCTAAAGTCTCAATAGTCAATCTGCATTTCTAATCAAGCCAACACCCACAGTCTGCTCAGTAAATTTAGCATTAGCCAATAAGCTCATGTAACTAACACATCTTCACTGCGTCAAACAGTTGGACTAAGTCACTAAGATCCTTGTTTCTTCAAACGCCTATAATTCCACACACTACATTTAGTGAGGCTAGAAACATAAAACATACCGAGATTCATCCCCATATCACAAGCCATGCCATCCAATAACTTCTGTCACTGCCATAGCTTATGCCACTGATTGTCACATAGTTGGCTACCAGTTTCAATTCTGGATTGACTGTGTAATTAATGTTAGCATTGCTGTAGAAGTATATTGATAAGCAAAAGAAGAGAAAAATTGCTGCTCTTGAAGCCTGTGTTGATCTAAGTCCTGTTTGGTGAACTTAAAAAAATTGCGTGATTCTTTGAAGGCGCATAATGAAGGTATTAACACGGATATAGAATTTGGTTTTTTCCTTGTGTTCGTTGGTCAATGCAGTTGTTACTGCCTTTTATGCAAACTGTAGGAGTCCAATGAAGAAGATGTAGGAGCTATTCCATGCAACTAAGGCCAGATAGAACAGAGTTCTTCCATGATCTGTGGTTCTTCCAGAAGATTCTTTGACTACTAATGGACATGAAATATAAATGCAGTGGGAGGACAAAACCGGTTGTTAAGCAGAAAACATTATTAGCATGAAAGATTATAGGTGAAGGAGTAGGACAAGGTGCTTTTCCAGTTTATTTGGGGAAATGTCTGGGAGTGGTCCATGCACATGAGTATTGTGTAAGATGATGAGAAGCTGATATAGCAGAAGGAGGAATCTGAGGGCAAGTACCATTTGAAGGAAGGCTGACTGGTACACATGGCAGGGAGGAGAAGTAACAGTTTACAATGATGGGAAAGTGTATGAACAGAGTAATCCACCTGTTATTAGAGCCAAATTAGTCTCATGGTATTTACTTGCATAAAATCTGTTAGGAATTTTAGACTGGAGAATCATTAGACCACTATGAGACCTGTATTATACTAAGCACTTTACTGCTCTTTGCCATCAGTGTCTAAGAAGGAAGACGGTGCCCTTGAATATTGCCTAAATTCGTGCATTCATTTTATTATTGAATGTACTGCATTCCTTAATAAAAACAGAAAGTTTATTTATATAACAATTTAAAAATACGAAATATAAAAAAGAATACAATTGATATGTTTAAAGTTAACCCAAAATTGAAAACCATGTTTCAAAAAATAAAAACAGCTAGATTGCTAAAATTAGACCAGGCAAAATGCAGTGTTGTTAATCACGAGGAATCTGGATTCAAAGACGGAGGCTTGCCATTCTGGAATATATCACATTCCTCGAATGAACAGGTGCAGTGTGCCTAGAAGTGCTCTTCATCGTCAGGTGTCAGTGGGCTCCCAGATACAGTTGGGGTGTGTTATACTGTTGTGTTGTTGTGACAAGGGTTTCAGTTTCATTCTGATGTTACTACCACATGGTTTCCATGAAACTATCTGTTCTGACTCACATCCTTTTCCAACAAATCAAGCACAATCCAAAGGGAACAGAAACCTTATAATGCTTTTGCAAAATAATTAGCTGTGATAACCACAAGCCTTGCCAAACTGTGCGAGACTTGCCAAAAGATACCAGACAAGAAATAATTTGCAATACAAGAATCTTCAAATACAAACTCAGGATACTGGAATGTCCACGAGACTGGAGTTTCAAAATGTCTTTGCCTTCTGCAAAGTACATTCATTTCACAGCTGGCTTTTATCTTCTTGAAGGAGGGGCCATTACCTTGCAACCTTACTCCTGAGCCACCCGTGCTGCTGCAGCTGCTCTTTCTTATGAGCAGCCCTGCATGCACGCGCACTTAGCACAGGCTCCTTGGGAACCTCCTCATCACTGCTGCCAGCCCCCACAATCTCTGAAGGCAGCAGTCCACTCCCTAATGGTCCTGGCCCCTTATCTAAGTCCTCGCTGTCCTCAGCCGTCCACACCTGCTTCCGGCTAACCACAACACTATCCTTAAATTGTCATGTCAGGCCCCCAAAATCAAGAAAGATACAGAAAATTATTTCTGAGTAGTTTCTTTATTCTTCACCTACAGAAACAATCTTCCCACACTAAAACAACTATGGTATCTGCCTAAACTATAGATGTACTCTGTGAACTTCTAGGAAGGGTCCATCTTTGGCCTCTTCCTGCCTACCATACTTTCTAAGCTATACCCCCCTCTTTGCTCTCTGGGAAGTAACCCCTCCCTCTTGGGATACCAGACTACATTCCAGCATAAAAAGCTCCAATTGATGCCAAATACAAGAACTAGGTTAATGATGTAAGATACTAAGATCGCATGAAAGCTGTTTTAATACCTAGGATGGCTGCGAGTTGCTTTCCAGGCACAGTGGAATAGATTGTATGATTGAATCTAGCACTGAAATGCAGGAGGAAAGGGCTTTTTCCTAAGGGATTAGAGCAGTGGTAGGATTCAAAAAAAATTTACTACTGGTTCTGTGGGTGTGGCTTGGTGGGCGTGGCAGGGGAAGGATGCTGTAAAATCTCCAGTCAGAAGTGGTATCTGCGGTTCTCTGGATTTCTCAAAATTTCCGCTACCAGTTCTCCAGAACTGCTCAGAACCTGCTGAATACCACCTCTGGGTTAGAAGCAGATCAACCTTGAGCCCTTGGTTTGAAGAAAGAAGTCTAGGTAGAAGGCACCTTCCATACACCTTTATGGGATTTATCTGATAATTTTGCAGAGTATACTTTAATCTGACAAGATTCCTGATTATGGGGAACAGCAATAAAAAAGCTTATTCTGAGCAATCCATTGTGTTGTTCTTGATACCTTGTGCCTGATATGTTGCTATGAATCTTTAAAGGCTTGACCTTTCCAAAATCTGGGCTTCAGGATCCCTACCAAGGTGAGTCTGAGTAAATTACTATGGAGGAAGCTGGCAGCATCTGGGTGCACTGACTTATATCTACTGGACTGGAAATATTCCTTACAAAATGGAAAATAAGGCACATTGACTTTATACCAGTCTTCATATTCTTAAACACTTGATATAGATAGCGTGGATTTAGACTAGAAGAGGAACCCCAACATTTCTGGGCACAGGGAATTTTGATAATATGTATATTCTCCTACAATGGCTATTAGCAAGAACATTTGCCTGGTTATAATGACTATCAAAATGACGTGACTAGTTCCAAAACAAAAAGGCTCAATGGAGAAGTTGACAGAAAGATTACTTGCCTAATATGCCAAATACAAGGCAGAAATGGATAATAACTGTGCTTTTCTAAACAAGTTAACAGAAGAAATGATTCCAAGTAGCCATCTGTGAAATAATATCCATTTCACAGATGATGAACTGCTGATGCACACCTATCTTGAAAAATACATACATGCCACATCAGTAAGGGTATTCCCATTTTGTTAATCTGTAAATAAATATCCACCACAGAAGGAGCACAAGCAAAACATTACATCTTTTTTTGCTTCATCTACTAGGTTGCATCATTCTGTTCTAGAATAGGTCATGCATTAGAGTAACTCAGGGAATTTCTGTGTCAAATCCAGGCAATTCCATCTCATTCAGAAAATCATTAATTGTATAGTTATGAATGAATGAGGGCCAGTGAATTAAAACTCAATCCTAAACATACCTTAATATGTTGCTGGATGATTTGCCTGCCCAGGAAGGACATCTCAACAATCTGTTGCAGATGGATTCTAAAAAGGATCAGTCTGCAATCTAGGTGTAAGCAAAGATCCTCCTTGGTCCCTGGGATCTCTAGTATCAACAACATAGTTTACCAAGGTGAGATTGTTGTACCTGTTGTGACCCCTCCTTTCCAAGAAAGAGCCTGGTTAAATTTATCCATAGTGAAATAATTCCCAGATTAGATTACTTCTATCTACTGCATGTGCTGTTGTCTTTTAAGGCTGTTCAGAAAATAGCAATAATTCAAAACAGAAATGATAAACCACTAACTGGAATCAGTTAATACTGCTTTAAAAAAAACTCCTCTGGCTCCTTGTCTGTTAGGTTCTGGGTTTTTGGAGAACTGGAAACTCCAACTATCCATTTGTATATATACCAAGATTGGTTTAGAAGAGGCAAATGTTTATTAAGGCAGACAATTCCCTCAGGTATAGAATTCTCATTTTGAAGAG